CTGCCCTCAAGGAGACACTCATTAGGCCCATAAGAAAGAAACCGAACTTGGCGGCGGACGAAATTGGCAATTATAGGCCCGTCGCCAATGTTTCTTTCATGAGCAAAGTGGTGGAGAGGGTGGTGGCCGACCAGCTTCCGGCTCTCTTGGGGGAAACGGATGCTCTGGATCCATTTCAGTTGGGCTTCAGGCCGCACTACGGCACAGAGACGGCATTGGTCGCCCTATACGATGACCTGTTGAGTGAGGGTGACGGGGAAAGCATCTCTGTTAGTGCTTCTCGACATCTTGGTGGCCTTTGATACCGTCAATCACGGTATCCTCCTGGGGAGGCTCACCGGGTTGGGAATTGGTGGCCTGGCGCTTGCCTGGCTCCGTTCCTTCTTGGGGGACCATCCCCAGAGAGTTCAGCTTGGGGAGAGTGTTTCAGCCCCATGGAGTCTCAACTGTGGGGTCCCACAGGGGTCGATTATCTCCCCAATGCTGTTTAATATCTATATGAGGCCGCTGGGTGGGGTCATCAGGGGGTGTGGGGCATCGTGTCATCAATATGCGGATGACACCCAGCTCTACATCTCCTTTCCACCCACCGCAGGAGATGCCGTTCTGTCCCTTCAGCGCTGCCTTGGGGCTGTACTGCAGTGGATGCAGGAAAATGGGCTGAGGCTGAACCCGGACAAGACAGAGGTTCTGAGGGTGGGTGCCCCCACTTTCAGTGGCGTGGGTGAGTCTCTGTCGTTTTGGGGGGGGGTAACCCTTGCCACCAAGAGTGGGGTTGGCAGCCTGGGGGTACATCTGGACCCGACGCTCACCATGGAAACACAGGTGGCGACGGTGGTCCGCACTGCCTTTTTCCAACTTTGGCAGATAGCCCAGCTGCGGCCCTATCTTGATGTGGGGGCGCTCACTACTTTGGTGCATGCGCTTGTAATCTCAAGATTAGACCACTGTAATGTGCTCTATGTGGGCTGCTGTCTTAGAAATAGATGCCCTTTGGCTATTGGGTGAATTGATTATGGACCATATTCATGATTAAGTCTGTCCTTCCTTCCTTGCTTGCACTTAAGATGTCCAAGGCCAATGGTCATTAAACAATGGGTTTACAAGACTAGGAATGGAACTGGAGCAAAAGGAAATAGTTAGCCTCCTACTGAGGATTTGCACTGCATAAGTGTAAATCATGGCTACAAACTGCTGCTAATTAAGTAGTTGCAGTTCACATTCCTGGCTGTGTGTCAGTCACACAACCTGGCCCTTAACCAGCAATGCAAATGGCAGTTCATTAATTAGCAACAATTCACTGCTATGATTAACCAATTACACTTGCACTGGTATAGATCCTTTTTGCTTCATCTTTGCCAAAACTATACTTTTATGTCAACACTACAATCCTTTACATGCCTACAGTACTTGGGAGGAAGTAATTGCGAATGCCATAAAGTTTCATCCTGAGTGGACATGTCTAAGACTGAACTGTCAGTTCTTGAAGATTGCTTCAAATATTTCAGATTAACCAATTACACTTGCACTGGTATAGATCCTTTTTGCTTCATCTTTGCCAAAACTATACTTTTATGTCAACACTACAATCCTTTACATGCCTACAGTACTTGGGAGGAAGTAATTGCGAATGCCATAAAGTTTCATCCTGAGTGGACATGTCTAAGACTGAACTGTCAGTTCTTGAAGATTGCTTCAAATATTTCAGATTTTAGAATGTCCAGAAAGGCAGAAGTTTAATTGTAAACTGCCATAATGTATTTATGAAAGATGGGTCTAGTTATATGCTAATAAATAAATTGCAACAGGAACCTGAGGAGGCAGGAAGCCTGCAACTAGAACTCCCAACATTTTTTCACATGGTAAATGCAGGTGCCGGGAGGGAAAGAGTTTGCTTCAGACTTCCAGCAGAGGTGAGAAAAATTAAGGGAGGGTTAGCTTGTGGTGCCATTTTCCTTGCATGACTCCCACCCATCCCCAAATGGAGATTTGCTTCCATTGCCACTAGTATTCTGATGTTACTTTTTACATGTTTACATCTCTAGAATGTCAAAGGCTTGCCTGGTGGTAAAAGGTGGCATTAAATCCAACGGAAAACTTCATAGGGATGATGGCGATTCCCTTCTTCTTCCAGTAATTTTGTTTGTTAAATTCCTCTGCTGCTTTTCGCCTGTTGTGGTATTCGGACTGCTCCAGGCATTCTTTCCAACATACGACCAGATTTCTGGCATCAAACTCTTCTTTGTAATGAGTTTCACTTATTTCTTTGTACATATTCATCTCTCTGACCTTCAGTACAGGCACACAAAATAAGATGCATATATTATGCTTTAGTTACAAACAGCTTTCCCCATTTCTACAAAACAAATTTGGTTCTAGAACTCCTTAGGAAGGGATGTCCCCTTTAACAACAGCTGCACAGGAAGAAATTCAGCAGGTCAAGCTCCCCATCAGTGCCAGAAGAAACAAGAACGAAACTATCTCCCAGGGAAGCCTTTCCACCATCTTTAAGATACCAGTTCAATAGAAGCACTAATTGTGGAATTAAAAGAGTTTTGCAAAATGACAGGGTTAAACACTAAATCACAAGAAAACAAAAATTATGACCAAAAATGTTCAAAAACAGGAGATTGATGAACTATTACAAATTACAAACTTCCGGGAAGGAAGGAAAGTAAAATACTTGGGTACTCTTTTTTACAAAGAAAACAAGTACTCTCCTGGTTACAAACTTCCCGGAAGGAAGGAAAGTAAAATACTTCGGTATACTTTTTTTACAAAGTAAACAAGTACTCTCCTGAAAGATAATTATTTGAAACTGAAATTATGAAAGACCTTTCTAGCTGGACAAATCTACAATTGTCAACAATGGGCAGAATTGCTACAATCAAAATGAACATCCTACCAAAACTCACTTTCCTTTTTCAAACAATTCTGATTGTTTTAAAACAAACAATATTTAAGGAGATTGAAAAATGCATGTGTAAATTCATCTGGCAGGGGAAAAAACCTAGAATTAAAATTAAGCATCTACAAGACCTAAAAATAAGAGGAGGAATGGGGCTTCCGAATTGGCTTCTGTACTATAGGGCATCTGCATTGGTATGGATTAAGTAGTGGATAACATTAGAAAATACGAGGCTCTTGAAATTAGAAGCATATGATTTGAAGGATATGTACAAAATGTTCTACAGATGGTACATGACACCCACAACACTGGCTAAAATAAGCACTCAGACTTCAAATATTTGTTGGAAATGTAAACAGAAGGAAAGAACATTTTATTACATGTGGTGGATGTGCAAAGATGCCCAAAGATATTGGAGTAAAGTGAATCAGATGCTACAAGAGATATTAGAAACTTCAATTCCGATGATACCAGAACTATTCTTGCCAGATATACTAGACTCTGAAAAAGCATATTTAACTTTCACATTATAACAGCATCAAGAATAGTTTTTGTAAAACATTGGAAGGAACCTAAAATACCGCAAATAGATGAAGTGACAGACAAAATCCTCGAAATTGCAGAAATGGACATATTATCAGATTGGCTAGATGCAAAAAATAAATAAATAAAAAATCACCGGAAAATTTGATCACAACTATGTACATGGTTACAAAGTAGATAGAATAGCTGACTGATACATAGTAATGTGTATGGCTGCAGAAGAAACAGAATAAATGATTGATAAAGACTATCAGCTACATAATGAATAATTAGATTAACAACATATTTGTCTGAATTTGATTTTTCCTTCTCGCTCATTGTCTATATCTTTTCCCCCCTGATATGTGGAACTATAAGTAGAAGAGAATGTATAGAATTACGACGAAGAATATTGATTTGTAAGGTATCCGTTCAAATCCACTCCCCTCTGAGGGTATCCCTATCCCAGTTGTCTACAACCTTACCCCACCTCTATAAGGAAAATAAATAAATAAAAATATTTTTTTTAAAAAAGATCCCAGTTCCTTCTAGTTAACATATTTTGTTATTTACCGCCTCATGGGGCAAACCAAGGTGGTCTGCCACAGCCGTTATCCATGTCTCGGCACAGAGGCCTGCCTGTGGGAACCCGAACCCTCGGAAAGCCGTGTTTGATGGCAAATTAGTTTTGCAGGCCCGCCCACGGGTGCGGAAGTTGGGGATTTCATATGCATTAGGACTTTTCAGCACAACGTAGTCAATCACCTAATGCAAGGGAAGAGGTGGAGAACTTGTTAGTGGTGCTGGGTTACTTGGAATCTGCAAAAAGAACATGGAAAAGAGGCACATGGCGTGCCCTGCTAGATAAAATACATCGAGGTTACATGTGTACTGAATGGTCACTGGGAGCAATCTAAGAGCGAAGACTCATTCCTTCAACCCCTGCCAGTCAGATATCACCATACCATTCAAGATCATGGGGGGGGGGAGGAATTGGGACCGTTCAGATGTCATTTAGTTGCAACTCCCATCAGGTGTTGCTAGTATAAACATTGGTGGAGGGGATGGAAGATGCAGTCACCCAATATCTGGACAGTCTTTTGTTCTTTATCCCTGCCCTAAAGCAGCTAAATAAAACAATTTTGGCTGATTTTGATCCCCATGGGACCAACTATGGGCTGTATCGACCCTGCCTGATGAATCCAGAGGTGTCCAGAGGCGCAACCCCACTTTTACATTTTTTTAAAAAGTGGAGGGGTAGTGACATGATCAGCTCCAAAGGCAAGTCATATTGTACTTCTTGGAGGCTTCCGACAGTTTGATTCTCCTCTCTCTTTCTCTCACTCTCTGTATGAAACGGAGTGTTTGGGGCTCTGGGGATAGAAAAACTTGGTACTGCATTTGCCTGTTGCCCAGGAGTGTAGATCCTCTCCAATGGTCCAGGAGGCCACAAATATCCATCCTTACTCTTTGGAAATCCATGCTCTGATGCCATGATCCCTGCCCTCAATTTTTCACCTTATAATTTATTTTTAAAATGAAAAAAGCCCCCTTGCACCCTCTCGTCATCCTTTACAAAATTCTAGGGTGTGAGGAGTACAACATCTGGTAAAAGTGTCTACCATGCTCCCTAGGGGGCATATGATTAGAAAAAAATGGGGGGGGGAGAAGCTGACAGGGTGCTGTGGGAGGCATGCTTGTCCCTGGCAGAGTCACTAGAATCCCAGAAACGGATTACATTAGGCATCCTTCGGTCTCAAAAGAACAAGTTACCATAGTCTTTTGAGACTGAAGGAGGGCACATGATTAGAAAAAAATGGGGGGGTGGAAGCTGACAGGGTGCTGTGGGCGGCATGCTTGTCCCTGGCAGAGTTACTAGAATCCCAGAAATGGATTACATTAGGCATCCTTCAGTCTCACAAGAACACGTTGCCATAGTCTTTTGAGACTGAAGGATGCCTAATGTAATCCATTTCTGGGATTCTGATTCTAGTAAAGAAAAAACCCAACTGAAAATGGATATTCTCTTACATGGGCAGAAGACTCAGAATTCTGTAGTGTGTCTTGAAAATGAAATATTGAAGCTTCCCATTGAGTCAAGCATCACTAACTGAAAATCAAGGTGTGAACAGAGTTTCATTCTGTTTTCTGCCTGTGAACATACAGTATGCTGCTAATCAAGAAACTTACCAGTTCTGATTCGTCTAGCGTACACCCACCATTTATGTAGAACTCAAGGTCAACAGCTTTGATTTTCCCATCATTCAGGAAGCCCACCTAGATACAAAAAAGTTCACTGTCATCATTAGATCCACTGAGTTCATCATTCATCCTCTAAACTCTGGGAATTTTTCCAGGGGGGCGATAACGAAAGAAATATCAGATCTTGTATTTTGAACCTCTATCATTCTTTTTACAGGTTTTACAAGATTAATGAGAAAATGTACATAATTTACTAGTATGGCACAATCAAGGAATGCAGATAAAGATCCAAAATGAAAGCAGGAAACATGTCAATAAGTATAAGTACTGTAAAATTTGGAACTGAAAAAAAAAGTAGGATTGTAGCCAGATAACAGAAGTTAAAATAGAGATAATGATTTTTTTTTCTGAATTTGAATTTTAAAATTTTAATCTTCCAGTACAACACTGTGACCACTATACCACATTGTCTCTCCTATTTTGTCCTATGTGGAACCACTCAAATATTTTAGATTTTTCAAGTGTTTTGGACTATTCCATCTTATGTGTGTATGTATATATGCATGCATGTAGGTAGGTAGGTAGGTGGGTAGGTAGGTAATTTATATGCTATAGGGAACCAAAGGCAGCTCACAACAATTAAAACTAGAATAACAACAGGTTCAAAATACAAGACAAAACCATATTAAAGACTATTAAACATTAATCAAGATTAAAACCAAGATTAAAACCCAAGACTGAAAGCTAAATTCATACATGCAGTGTTCCCTCTCATTTATTGTCTAAAGCCTGTCTGAAAACAAAGATCTTTGCCTGGCGATGGAGAACTGCAGTGTCCAAATTATTTTCAAAGATAATGTTGCGGCAGGGCAAGGGTGCACCGGGAATAGTCCAAATGGGAGGTTCCCATGAGAGACTGCAGGCAGGCTATCACCACCTGGATGTGGTTGCAAGTCTAGTCTAGAAGATCTCTGTGTCTGAAAGAGGCCTAATGTTAGCCACTAGAGATGGGGGTATTCGTATATGAATAAGGTGGAGATCATGACGGTCCAGCCCTCTGGGGCCAGACGGTCCATTTACTGATCTGCTGCTGCTGCGGGCTCTACGCTCCTAGGAATACCACTGCACAGGTGGAGATAACAAGGGTCCAGCCCCCTGGGGCCAGACGGTCCATTTACCAATCTGCTGCTGCTGCGGGCTCTACGCTCCTGTCCTATTGCTCCATACTTGCGATTGGCGAGCCACTCTTCAACCTGGCAGAGAGGCTTGTCGTCCCACCTCCTGCCAGGAGTAGCTAGCCAGTTGCAAGATTTGGAGCGATAGGACAGGAGCGCAGAGCCCGCAGCAGCGGATCAGTGAGTGGACCCTTCGGCCCCGTGGGGTTCATTATCTCCACCTGTGCAGGGGTATTTGTATCCGCATATGAATACAAATACCCTCACCTCTATTAGCCACCCATCCAACATGTCTCATCATGCTTTTCTGGATGACACCATGCAGCAGAATTACTTTGCAGATAAAATAAGTGTGGCGTGGTGAAATAAAAGTGTCAAGAGTTTAACTCGGCAAATGTATGAATCCCAGCTCACAACAGGTCCACACAGGGAACACTTTTGTGTGACGAAACAGAGGCTGACAAAATTAGAATGACCTACCTTATATTTTCCCAAAAGAGGATGTCGACCTCCCGGTATTAACATGTCAAGATCTCGCTCCAGGACGAAACGGACAGGGCGGCCAGTTCTAAAGCAAAACAAAAGAAAGTCTATTTTGAGACCAAAGCCATAGTCACACCAGTGAAGTGTTTCCCCCTGGTAATGAGACTTTCATCCCTTTCTTGCTGTGCTTCCTTGTCACATATGACAGCTATGACTTTTCTTCTCTCTTTTTTTGTGTTTTTCCAATGCAAACCAAAGAAATGAACACGTGAGTACCAAAACATTTGCAACTGCAACCATGTTCTGAGAGAAGGGCTGCATTTTCATACACACTTGGATGAGTGTCCTCATGTGTTTTAACATTGCCAGTTCATTTCCTTCCATTTGAATCGTTATGGCCGGCTACACCACACTGGCGATTTATTTTCTCTCTTGTTTTTTTGACCACTGAAACCTCTCAATATTAAATTTGTTTTAAATGACACTTTGATATGTCGGGTAGTGTTTCCTGATGGGTAGAATTCCCTCTGTTGCACAGGTGCCTCTGGAAGCAATGTATTGCACTCAATGGACCCAGCACCACCCACCAGTGCTGTGCCACTTGTCAGATAATAAACCTGTTGACAGAAGTTTACCAACACTTTGATATTCTGGTCGCAGAAATATATATATTATTGCCTCATGGCTGCCCATATATATGTATGGGCAGCCACGAGGCAATAATTGTGGTCCCCTTCCCCGGTGAATTCGCTTCAAAAACGTATAGGATTGTACACACATGCCATATTGCTAAGGAATATATCGAAAGGTCACCAGAACAAATGTTTATATGGTTTTAAAGTAAAAAATGAATCCATGCATCAATTCATCAGAAAAAATATATAAATTCATGATTAGACATGGGGATGAATATAAAAATGAATCAGGATATTCATTAAATATCTCTGATTCATCAGAAATTCATTGTTTTGTATTCTTGGGATCCAGAGACTCCAACAAATACGAAGCAACGAATATAACCCTTTTATATTTATCCCTTCATTCTCAATCTGCTTATGCCCCCATGGATCATCTGTTCCTCAGGGGCATAAGCAGAGATGGATTTTCCCTTTGGGTGGCTTGTTATAGCCTGCCAGAAGGTAATCCCACCACCGGGACTGGGGGATGGCTTGGTTCCCCTTTCCTCATCTTCCTCTAACCGCACTATGCTAAGGAAGAAAAAAAGACCCATGAACCAAGATGAAGCTCCATTTTGCGCTCGTCCCCATCTCTATTCATGATTTATGATTTGTTGACTTTGATGGATCATGAATTAAAACAAATCACCACTTTTCTAATTTGTGCCCATCTCTAATTATGACCAAAATGATGATCCTAAGGCCTGTTTCAAGCTTTTACATCCCAGGTTTGTTATGGTGGTAAATAAATATGCAACAATATTGTTGGGGAATGGAGAAAGTTAATAGGGGAAGATGATGGTCCAGGTTTTGTAGGTTTGTCAAAAGAGCTGGTGAGATTGACTGTAGTCATTGTACCTAGAACCTCAAAGCCCCTCATGCAACTGGATTTTTCAAAGCTGTTGCCCATCAAGAGGAGCTAAACCTCTTGTTTTTGGACAAGGGACATTTCCAAAGTCCTATTATAGGAGTAGGTATTTTTCTCCCCTTAACAAATCCACCTAAGAAACTTCATAAGCAAACAGATTATTGACTCTGCTTTTATGGTCACCCATTGCCTGGAGTAATTCACATGCTATTGGAACTGATTACAAAGAAAAGTTAGCAAGGTCATCAATGACGGTAAGTAGCCAATCTAATTAACATTGTTACACTATCATTGTTATTTTATTATAGGGATCCCCACATTCTTTACATCACAAGCTTCAATGAAAGACCTGCATATCAAAGATATTATAACCACAATGTTATACACCCACTGACTTTCCCACTAACTAACCATGATCTCTGTATTTGTTATCTATATTTTGATGCCATGTATAAATATTTGCCATGTTGAATCTCTTTATCTGATGAAGTGGACTTGTCCATGAAAGCTCACATTAAAAAAAATATAAAAGTTACTCTTTACGGTACCGTCAAGTGTTTGGTTTTTTTTTTGAAACTTTTTATTTCTATTTGGATTTATCTGTTATAGGAGATTTCATATCTGAACTGGGCATTGGTCCTTTGAGTTCCTTTCAGGAGGGCCCTGGAGAATTCCAGCACTTACTTGTGTGCAGCCACTGCTGCTGCTGCTGCAAAAAAGGGAGGCTTTGTTATCTTGCCGCCGAAGGCTCCTCCAACCCGTCTTGTGTGGCACATGATCCTATTGGCCTGAACATCTAATACTGAAGCCACCAATTCCTGGAAGGGACAAGAGGGAGAAAAGAACTTCCTTTTTCTGTAATCAGAGACCAAGCATTTCCCCATACTTACACCAGACTGGGGACCATATAGCCCTCCAGGATGTTGATGGACTACTATCCCCATGATCCCTCACTAGTGGCCAAGCTGATGGGAGTTGGAGTTCAACAACATCTGGAGGACCATCCTTTTCCTGTCCCTGAATTTGTTCAGTTCAACACATTCAGTTTCGTCTTTCTGCAGATCATGGGCATATTTTTTTGCTCACAACATTATCTTTTGTGAGCCCAGGATTTAATGTGAAATTCTTCAGTTCTGACTTAAGGCAACACTTCTGGAGTTTTCCAGCTATGACATATTCAGAAGTGGCACACCAGCGCTTTGGGACTGTGCAGCTTGCCCAAGGCCACTCAGGTGGCAGGGCACAAATCCTTTTTAGTTCCAGAAAGTTTGAATTGAATGGAGACATAGATAGTTTTGATCAAGCCATCAATAGTATGCCAGTCATTTTGCTGCCTGAGCAAAGACAAAACTAAATGGGATTAAGAGTTAAATCTTTTTTTCAGTCTTGATGATGGGCAAGGGTGCTCCACCACAATCTAAGGCATGGGGCTAACTTGGGGAGGTGAAAGGCAGCCGGTGCGGCACACAACCTTCTATTGTGCTATCACACCATCATCTGCCACACATCTGCTACCTCAGGCAATTGTTTCACACTGCCCAACAATAGAGCCAGTCCTGCCAACAATAATGGTTGCAGGATATATCAAGAGCCGTATTTTTTTTCATATAACCTTTCCCATGCACTGAAGGCTGTGCCCAAGCCCTGTTTTCTGAATTCTCTTTGTTGTGTGGCTTTTCTCTGGTGGCCCTGAAAACCTGGCATATCCCCCATTTGAAAGCCTATAGTATTTATTTTCTGTTCAATGACCTGCCATTTCCAGATTGGTCTAGTTTTGAACTCCTGCCCCACTGTTTTGCTGCATCACCTAACTTTCCATATTGTGCTTCAATGAGTTCTATTGTCTCTTTCATGTTGCACTTTGTATTCTATATGCCTCTTGCTGTGGAAATGCAAGGCATAACGTTAACCGGACGAGCGGGCCTGCGTACAGAGGAAGCCAGAGACCATCTGCTGGCCACAGCCCACTGGGTGAGAGGCAGTGGAACTGTGGTTGGGCCCCTGTTGGATGCCAGCTCTTTCTCAAGGGAGCTGGCTCAGCCTTCCCCTGTGCCTGCAGGACTAGGCCCTGCTGCTCCCGGCTGCCTCACTCCCTCCCAATATGAGCCACATGGCTGGGGGGGGGAGAGAAGGGGCTTTAGAAAGGTTTTATTTAATATATTTTTAAAACTTATTTTAAATTGTGATTAATTGCCATCAATTAAGAAGAGACCCACAGTGGATTTTAGGGAACAGGAAGGGGGGAGGGCTTTGGAGGGGGCAGCCATTGAGGTAGTGCTGAGTAGGTGAAGGAATGGCAGTGGGAGTAGAACATGACCGCGTAGGAGAAGAGAGGTTAGATATCTTACATCTATCCCCTCTTCTAGTCCTGCCTCCAACCAGATGGTATCAGGCGACCATATCAGCAAACCCTCGGGCCACACGGTGCTGTTGATGAATGCCAGGTCAGTACAAAATAAAACTGCCCTCATCCATGATGTAATTCTGGATGAGGGGGCTGACCTGGCGTGCATTACTGAGACCTGGGTGGGAGAGGAGGGTGGTGTCCCCCTCTCCCAGCTGTGTCCGCCTGGGTACTCAATCCAGCACCAATGTCGCTCGGAGGGTTGGGGACGGGGAGTTGCTATAGTCTATACAATTCATCATAGCTGCTGAAACAATGGCACAGTCTTCCTGTGAGAGGGGCCAAAGATTTGGGTTACCTCTCACCTGTACATGTGCAGCATCCTGTGTAGACACGTATACATCCATTTCCTCATCCTCTTTTCTTGGAATGACAAGTACACTGTTTGTTTCCATGCAAAAGTGTTTTTGCCCTCCAACATGAACTTCACCTGTTAAAAAAACCCAATTGCACCCAACAGCATGACTTGTACCTGAATCATCCTGAAATTACTTCATCCCAATTCCTACCCGCTTCCTTTAATAGCAGCATGTCTAAATGAACAGAAACATGGGTGGTTCATGATCTAACTCAGGGGGTATGCACCTTGTTTCCCACTTTGGAATAAAGTATTTCCACACATACATTTGGACTACGGGCTCCCATGGAACACAGAGAAACTGTCTTTTCAAAGAAACATTTCCAGTCTAATCAATGCTAGTAAATGTTCTCCTAACGTACTAGATCTTACTGTTACTTTCCTCCCTTGGTTTAATCTCATGTACACTATCCTGAAATCTTCAATATGTAGTCAGTCAGTCAGTCAGTCAGTCGATCGATCGATCGATCGATCGATCGATCGATCGATCAATCAATCAATCAATCAATCAATCAATCAATCAATCAATTAATTGTGGTTATTGGGGAACCATCCCAAACAAACAAAACAAGAGCTGTAGAAGAACGGCACTTGGGTGGAGAAACTGGGTGGTGATTTTTCCAGCCATGTTTTCCGTGTAAAATATGATAGTACCCTGTGGCAACCCTTTCCTCTCAGCCCTGCTGATCTCTAGAGGGAACTGAGCTGTGTTAAACTGGAGTGAAATGTAAGTCAATGTGGAATGTCAAAGTAAACCTCCTCAGGGGAAGGGTTGCTGTCTTGACACGAGGGTCCCATCCTGCATTGATGGCATCTTACCTTCAAGAATTGTGTCAACCATCTGAAATGCTTCTTCAACATCTCCTTTCTCTATTTTCTTTTCTTCTGTCAAGAATGAATTATGCTTTATCGCTTCCTGGAACATGGGGGAAATTAAACAGCTCATCTCAGAGGAACAGGAAAATAGGACACTAGTGTCATTTCTGTCATCTTTTTGACCGCACACTTGCACTGAGTTTACTGCAGCTGAAGAATCTGCTGATATCACACAAACTAAAAAATGTGCTCCTTTCCTGTTTATGAAATCCCCAGTACTCAAAGGCCAATCTTCTAGTTGCTGGCTGAACAGGAACCCCCTTCAAGAACAATTACACATAACAAACTACTTGTAATTAATATCTTTCCCTTATAATAAAGATGTCCTGTTACAAATGTGTGTGTGTGTACTGTTTTTAAGTGTGGCCGGTAGCCATATTGTTACAAATGAAACATAACGAGGGATAACTTCACTACTTTTGCAGTCTAAATTGTATCTTTCATAGTTATTTTTATACTTATTTATTTATTTTATTTTGTTTGTCTCTGGGCGGCTTACAACAATTAAAATTCAATTAAAATACAATAAAAGATAAAATGATTAAAATACAATCAAAATTGCCATCAGGACCCACAGTTGATGTTATTTCAAACATAACGAGGGATAACTTCACTACTTTTGCAGTCTAAATTGTATCTTTCATAGTTATTTTTATACTTATTTATTTATTTTATTTTGTTTGTCTCTGGGCGGCTTACAACAATTAAAATTCAATTAAAATACAATAAAAGATAAAATGATTAAAATACAATCAAAATTGCCATCAGGACCCACAGTTGATGTTATTTCAATTAAAAGCCTTCTGGAACAGGAAGGTTTTGACCTGGCGCTGAAATGTCATCAATGTCGGCGCCAGACGAATTTCAGTTGGGAGGGCATTCCATAGTCTGGGGGTAGCTGCCGAAAAGGCCCTTTGTCTACAAGCCATCCCTCTTACCTCCTTGAGGGACGGCTCTTTCAAAAGGGCCCCCTGGTTAGATCTTAACTGCCGGGTAGGTTCATATGGAAGGAGGCGGTCCTTCAGGTATCCAGGGCCCAAGCCGTTTAGGGCTTTACATGTCAAAACAAGCACTTTGAATTGGGTCCGGGCAGCAGCTGGTAACCAATGTAACTTAAACAGAATCGGCTTGAGGTGTTCCCCAGCGGCCCCACCACTCCCCAGCCACGCAGCTCGATTCTTGACCAGCTGCAGTCACCAGACCATCTTCAAAGGCAGCCCCACGTAGAGCGCATTGCAATAATCTATACGAGATGTTACCAGTGCGTGTGTAACTGTCATGAGCCTCCACTCGTCCAGGTAGGGCTGTAGCTGGTACAATTTCCGCAGCTGAAGGAAGGTGCCCCTGGCCACCGAGTCCACCTGGGCTTCCAGAGTTAGACTGGGGTCCAGGAGCACCCCCAGGCTGTGGACCCTGTCCCTTAGGGGGAGTGTAACCCCATTCAGGGTAGGGAAATGGCCCTTCAATCTGTCAGGTGAAGCACCCACTAACAGTACTTCCGCCTTGTCAGGATTGAGTTTCAATTTATTAACCCTCATCCAGTCCATTATCAGTCCATGAGTTCAGCACAGGAGCACTTAACAGGAACATGGCCTAACTAAAGGGGAGAGAGGGCAAATGCCACATGGCACACGGTCCTTAATTAACTTGGAGGATTCACTCTTGCAAGAGATAGTGATGGTCAGAGGTTTAGAGGGCTTTAGGATTAGATTAGAAGAACAGGGTGATGTGTGTGGGTCTATTAATGTTTATTAACCATGGTGGCTCCAATGCAGTAATTTGAGGGGAGTCCAATAGCAAAGGAGGTCTATTTCCTTCACACTGGGTGCATGGATTTTCTAGAAGCATTGGATCAGCTGACCCTTGTCAGAAACACAATGCCTTGCTGTTATCGTGAAGGACTCATCTTACATTCCCCGGTAACTGAAACCCAGGAGAGCTTCACAAGCATGTGGCTGATTTATACCTCAATGGTCAGAATCCGCTTCAGATCTTGATACTCGATCTCCACTTGGCTTGCAGCAAACTTTGCGCATTCATAGGTCTCCGCAACGACACCACAGATAATGTGTCCAATGTAGATTACCTGCATGAGTATTATGAAGCTAAGTAGTTTAATCATACATTACAAGGACAAGGTCATTTTAATTACTCTAATGAATTTATCTTATAGCTGTGGTGGTGTTCAAACCCTGCTCCAAGAGTGAGCAAAGTTTCCGGCCTATCAATTAGGAGGGCCACATATAAATTCCTAAAAGAAAAGAAATATATCACCCAAGGTTCCTGCTATACTGGGTGCCTCCCTCCACACAACTCTCTTCCTTCTTTGCTCAGCAATTGATTTAGGTTCCAGTTGCGACAGAACTGGGTGAACGAGGGGGGGGGAGAGTTGCGCACATGCAGCGGTGAAGCCGCGCAACAGAGAGGCGGAGCTCCGCCCAGGGGAGCTGAAAATTAGAGGGTATGTTGATGTCACCCCTCCAAAAGAGGACAAAAGGAGGTAAGGATCTGCATAATTTAGCACATGGAAATTATATGTGTAGATGCTAATACTGTACATAAATAAATAACTTCTATAATTTATACAATCTTACCATAGAGAAAACCCTGACTTGATGACCCATCTGCTGTTCAAGTGAAGTTGACAGACAACTTCAAGTCCCTTGGTCATTGATCTCCGCTTTTATGGTTCTTATTTTTAAGAGTTGTTTAAAAAAACATGACTGCAGTTCTGACAGTTAGACGGCAAAAAGCCCAAATCAAGACATACCTCATCCTCAGCAAATACTTTCTCTTTTCCATCACCATTTTCCCCTGGAATATCCTCAGCTGTTACTACGGCAACTACACCTGGTTCTTCTAAGGCCCTTGAGACATTAATGGATCTACAAAAGTAGAAGGCACAGAAATATGTAGGTTCCACTTTGGGCTACAACCAAGGGTGGTGGTAAGGATGAATCCTTGAATATGTGCCCTTGTTTTATGATTTAAAACAGAAATATTCAAGGACAAAAATAAACGTACGGCACCTTTCCCCCAGCTAATGAATAAGAAGAGATTGTTAGCTGAAACACAGCTTGTGTCCTTGCAGTTAGAAACAAAGAGGAACTCTACTGTATTTGAGAAAATAAATTTTGTTTAAATCAGTGAAGGGCCAGAACCTATTGCCACTTTATATATGCAGGAGGATTCTCCCCTGCAAATTTCAGAATCCTTTTTGTACCGTCTTATGGAATACCTGAAATCCCACAATTCTTCTTAACCAAAGATGGAATTTTAACTCAAGGATATGGCCTCCCCACCCCCCCTGCACCAGCAGTAAGACAGGGTAGCATTCTTCCCTCACCATTAAAACATAACGCATGTTCAATTCACAAATTTAACCCAATGCATCAGATCAATTTGCAGCTCCACACGGACCGCCATTCACGTGAAGAGAAATGAATAAGTTGCCATTATTATGAGAATAATGCAAACTTTCAAATGGTGCATGCATGCATCTCTGTGTGTGTCAGCACACATACCCATGTGTGCACAATTTCTTGTACGCATGTGTTCACTTATCTGTCCATCTCTCACATATATTTTCAAAATTAAAATATCATTTAAATATATTGAATTTTTATTTAATTTTCTAAATACCTCTGTTGTTTTCGTTAACTTACGTGTGTGGGTAAATGCTGGGAACCTAGCATAAACAAAAGACTAAATACCGCGAGGCCCCCAAGATAATAACCAGGTAGGCTGGCCTCACCTTTTGAAATAACTAGAGAGGGGGACAGGCCCACCCTGAATTCCACTTCCGTTGTCCTAACCAAACCAGATATGGAGAAAGTAACAGGCAGGCTAAACTGAGTGGACTGGAAGCACTGAAAATCACTTCCCAGAGGGCTCCTCAAGGACACTGTGCTCTTATTCTAAAGAGCTAGGGACTGCCCTTCTTCTTTTCATCTACATTTCATTTAAGCCACTCTTTTATTTTTGTTCCTCCCACCTCATAAGCAAACAAACCAATAATTACGTAAACCCATTTTTGGGATCTGTTCAAAGATCCTCCACTCCGACGTAACACCAAACAGGTCTCATGCGTGCTGCTGTTTGTTACTTACAAAATCTTTGCATGAGCTCGCGTGCTGGTTACGACCGCCATGTGGAGCTCTCCATCCGCTCGAGCAATGTCGTTAACATAGACAGCTTCACCGGTGGCATGTTTGATTCCAGACTGGTGCACAATAGGACGTCCCACTGGATCCTGAGGAGGCTGATGATAGTCTACATCCTGTCACATAGCAGGAAGCCATTTACTTTATTGAAAGCTCATTGGAATACTACTATCACAGGAGCCATGTCCAGTCATGCAGGACAGGGTCTTTTTAGTAGCGGTGCCTAACTTGTTGAATTTCTTTCCCTGGAAGTTCCATAAGGGCTCTCATTCTACAGATATTCCATTGTCTTGAAAAAACATTCTGTTTCAATGAGATCTTTGCAGAAGTTTTGCAGAGATGTGGCATGGGGAACAGACAGGAGGAACACAAAGAAATTCTGATGTTGTATAGATCAGTGGTTCTTAACCTTGGGTTACTCAGGTGTTTTTGGACTGTAACTCCCAGAAACCCCAGCCAACACAGCTAGTGGTGAAGGCTTCTGGGAGTTGCAGTCCAAAAGCAACTGAGTAACCCAAGGTTAAGAACCACTGGTATAGATCACTGTAAAATGTGAATGAAAAAGGCATGACAACTTCACACTAAATACTAAATCTGGAGGCAACACAGGTCGACCGGATCTCTCATTAACAAACTATCCTGCACTCCACATCCACTACAATTAAAAAAAATAAAAATAAACAGTGAATCAGGTAAGAGGATAATCATCGTTCGTTACTTATGGATAAGCTTCTATGAAAATAGTCTTACTGACCTGGTATATTTGCATGCCCTGTGGTGGTTTCTCATAAAACTCGCCCAAGGCACTCAAGGTTTCTTTTGGCAGGTCAGGATACTTGTCTGGATACTGTGAGAAGATAATATAGCAACTGTTTTCGTATATGATTCAAACATTTAAATATTTTCAGACATTTTGTGGAGAATAGTTACGTGTCTCAAGACAGAATGGCTGCGTTCAAATTTTGTTTTGGCAGTATTTGGATATAGCGATAAACCACAGTTCAGCATTCTCAGGCTGAATCTTCCTGCCTACCCAAGGCTTGCACTCCCCTCTTTTCCTTCTCCTTCTTTGGTGTAGCATGAGAAGGTCAGAAGGGTCCTCTTCCATTTTAGATTAGCTGCAATTATTTAAATTCAAAACTGTGGTTTATTTTAACCATGGTTAGTGAACTACATCCAGCTTCATAAGCTATGGTTTGAATTTGGCTTGTTTCCACCAACTACAGCTAAGACAAACTGCAGTGTGTGGTAGGTTAACCACAGTTAACCATGTTTGTTTGGAACCAAATTTTGTCTTGAATCAGAACACACAACAAATTACATTTTGCCTTAAACAGAAGTGAAAGCTTCTGATATCTACCTTCCTGCCACACTGGAGGAGGGAACAGGGAGGACGCAAAGCTTGGGAAAGGGTAGCTTATTCTTGTAATGTTCTATTATAATTTACTGCAGCCTTCTCCAACTGGAGGTGCCCCTTAGATGTCTTGGACTACAACTCCCATCATTCTTAACCGTGATGGGTGTTCTGGTCAGATCATTTGGAAGGCATCCATTTGAAGGAGGCTGTTACTGTGTAAGAGTTAAACCAGTTCTTTACTTTTCAGTAATGGCAAGTAATCAATGTCAGAATAGGGATAAATCAAAGCCTGGATCACACAACCCCTTTTGGCGTGTCTTCCCCCACATGTTTTACACAGTGAAACTTCCATTTATGTGGTAGCATCACTATTTACAATAGCTTATGAATATTCAGTTATATTTTGGCCAACAAAAAGAGTTTCAGAAAGCAAACTGAACTTAAAACCATGGTTTTTGCATATAAAGGAGACAATTTATTTTATATATGGGTATAGGGAAAAAACTGCTGTATGCTAATGCAGAAATGGAAATGGCAGTCTGTGACATGGAAAGGTGACTTTTAAGCCATTTGTTGGGCCAAAGGTGGAAGGAGTGCTTGTCTTCTTCCTCCCCTTTAACGACAGGCAAATGTGTACGCGGCAGAGCGAGAAGTTGCTGGGAGATGTTAAAAGTACATACTTTAAAACAGGAAAGCGTATGTCTGAGCATTTAACATCAGCTTGAGTTGCAGAAATAAACAGTATCTTTAATTAACATCACTGCTAAAAAGCATAGCTGCAGAAGCCCATGAAAAAGCAACAATCCCCAGACTTGGCTGGGACTGTTTACAGTATAGGGAGGCACAAGCATTTCACAAGATGCAGTTTTAAATAGCAGCCAGTCCACCAGCCAGGAGCAACTAATGGTCACAGGAGAGGAGGATGCCTCATCCTCAAAGTTTGGGATGACCTTCCCAGGTCATCACAGGGCTTGTCCATCCTGTACAGATTTCCTCTTTATAGTATTTGTGGTACTAAACAAGCAGTCAAAAAAAGGCAGCCTAAGAGTTGTAAAATAAACCACCCACAAAGTCTTTCTACTCAGACAGACAGGATGACTCAGATTTACCATGTTCCTTAAACCTTGTAGCACTTCCAGATAGAATCTGAAGAAGAAGCTCACAAGCAGCGTCCGCCTGTATTCGACTTTCCCACCAGACGCTGAAGGAGAGAGCGTGATTTCTTCAAGGATTAGCCTGCAAGCTTCATCCAGCATCGTCTCATTCCAGTTACTAGAAGAAAAAGGATATCTCTGAATATGCTAATTTTAGCAAAGTGTGGATAGTGGCAAGAGTTTTGAGGAAACAATCAGTCACCCAAAGTGGTCAATCAGAAAACTCTCTCTCTCCCTGTGTCTGTTTCCAGGCCTGTGTCAGAAGCAGGGAAAGCTTATACAGTGGCACCTCACTAGATGATGATAATCCGTTCCACTGAAATCGCTGTTTAACAAAATCATTGTCTAGCGAAAAGCATTTCCCCATTGGAATGCATTGAAACCTGTTTAATGCGTTCCAATGGGGAAAATTGTCGTTGTCTAGTGAAGATTTGCCATAGGAAGGTCGCTTTGCGAACTGCCGATCAGCTGTTTAAATTGCTGTCTTGTGAAGCTTAGATCCCGAAAATACCTGTTTGCGAGTGCGGAGGGAGCTGTCAAAATCGTCGTCTAGTGAAAATCGGTTTGCGAAGCAGGGAGCAAACATTGTCCAGCGAAATTCCCCCATAGGAATCACTGTTTTGCGAATCGCTATAGCAATCGCAAAAAGCCAGTGTCTAGCGAAAAAACTGTCATGCGGGGTAACTGTCTAGCGAGGCACCACTGTAGTCTAATCTGTTTTCATTTTTATCTGTCTGTCATAATGAACTAGTGCTATGCCAGATTGCAAGATTTTTTTAAATAGTAAGGATTACACCACAGCAGCAGCAGCAAGTGGCTGTGAGAAGCAACCAGCATGAGGTCAGGCAGGTGGAGGACAAAGTGTAAAATGCAATTATTTTTAAAAGACTATATAGTCCCCTTGAACTGATATATAACACAGCATAAAAATGGATTAAAAGGTTTCCTAAGAGTTTGAACACACTGACACACAAAAACCACATGACTACCATGCTACTTTAAACAATTTTTTAAAAAAAACCAAGCCATCTCCCATTTCATTGTCATTGTGTAACTGCACCTAGACTCATTCTACGTTCTGTTCCCATTCCATAAATAAGAAGTAGCTGTCCTTATATAGAACTACTGCACCCCTACCTTCCTATGAGCTTCTGGCAGGAATTCTTGGCACTCACTGTTGTGCTGCCGATGCCTCCATAAAAAATAGCCAGGTCTTCAATCATATCAGTGCCTGGCTGAAAAAGGACTCTCATGGCCGAGTTTGTCACTGAAAATGCATTTTTCCGGCGCTCAGCCTGTCGGAAGGCTGAAATAAATTCATCCTGGAGGGAGCAAAAGGGAGAAAGCTGGTTATTTGGGATCCATAATAGTTCATTCATGATTTTCTGTCTTGCTTTTATAGCACTGACAAAAAAAATGGAGATATGGCTCCTGTACTTTTAAGGGTTGCATGGAAGAAGAAACCTCAACAAGTGTCAGCAAGGGTTAAAGGTTTAAGAGTCCCCTTCTTCATTTTAGATAAACAACTTGATAAGTACAGTAGCTACTTTCTTTAAAAGTCTGAGTAGCCTTAAGGCTACTTAACACATGAAGAAACTCTTACCTGGAAGGCACGTCCATGTGTGAAAACAATGGGCATCTAAATATACTGTACATGGTATCATAGGTGGCCTGTGGCCAAGTCAGGGGGTGTTCCCCTCAAAAACGGTGGGGTTAACATACTCCCTTAGTCCACAAGCTGCTATGAAAGAGGAAAATCAGTCAGCAGGGATAGGGTCACGGCAGGCGCAACATTCCTGTTCCATGGGTGATATCTAGTAAACCCCTTTCACCACCAGTCGCCCATCCTTCTTGCAGCCCCCTTATAAATCCTCAAAATCTGTTCTAGAATTGGGAAACCCCTCCATAGAAGATGAGGAACACAGGGTGCTGCAAGGATGAAAGGGGAAGTCCCACAACACACACTGATGTTCACAAGAATTATGTCAGATGTAGCCTATTAAAGTGTTAGCCCAAATCCTGTTTTTAGTGTAGTAAATCATACCAAAATAGGCCCATTGAATCCATGGGGAATTGGTGAGCCAACTCCTCCCTATATTCCATTGATTCAAATTGACCTACTCTAACTTACTATGCCAAAGTAAGTCACAGAATAGACCTATTTGAATCAATGGATCTTACAGAGGAAACGACTCACCGAATTTCCATTCATTCAGTGGGCCTAACCTAGGTCAATTTAGCAACCAGATTTTGGCCGCTGTTCACCTGCTTTCCTCATTTCTCTCTCACTAAAGCCACACTTCCTCGCCAAGATGACTGTTTATACTCTTTGTATTTGAGCTTCCTGGAGTGTGGGGTCTGTACTCCACACACGCTGTTTCCAATGGGTCCTCTTGCTCAAAGCATGATGGGAGGGACGGTTTCTCCGGTCACCTTTCCCATCATGCCTTGGTTCTGCGGATACCCTTGGAGCCATGATCCATGGGAATAAGCCAGACCTGCGAAGTGTCAGCCCAACACCTTCTGCAATCACCCCTGGCTCTGCTTGTTTCTCTCTCAGGAGACACAGGTGGTGATGAAGAGGCAAAAGGGGAAAAGAAAGAGCAATGCAACACGTGTCTGTCAGGAGGCATATTGAGGGGAGGTGGCCCTTGAACCTGGGGCAACAGCAAGAGGAGAATGGCTCCTTCCTGACCCCCCACCATTCTGTTGCTTGAGTCAACCACCCCAGTGGGCCCAATGACGAGGACAGCCTTGGCTGAAGAAGAATGAATTATCTGGGAGTGTCATTTTGGGAGTGGAATGAAGGCGATGATGCAACTTCCTCATGTCTTTTATTAAGGGAGAAACCTAGCTTTTTGGTAGGGAGGCAAGAAGTTGAAGAAGACAGGAATTCCTTTGACTTTAGAAAACAGTTGTCTGAAAGAAGGAATTTCAGCAGGTATTTCTGGCACGTCAGGAAACACCTGCCCGAATTCATCCTCCTGCATAACTACTGAAGGTACAAGAGCCGTATCCTGTTTCTGGTGGTCATAATCCTTTGGGGGCAGGAAGTCCACCGGAGATATGGGTCGAAACTAAATGAGACCCAGAGGGATTCCAAGTTATTAGTTGGTTCTCATTGTTCTCATCTCCTT